AGGTTTCTTCCCAGAACCTAGGGTCTGCCTAACTGATGTTTCTTCTTATTTTCTGAGGAGGAGACAGAGCTGGCAAGGTTGCATGGCTTCCCAGACACCTAGTTAATGTCTCCCTGCTCCACTTCTTCCTCCTAGTAGGTTTCTGTTGTTTTATCACCTTGATTAAACCTGCCTCTGTCTGAAGAGCTGTAAAGAAAACCAGTGGAAAAATGGAGGCAAGGACAGAGTGGCCCAGAGGCCAGATTTTTCTACCCTAGCTTCCTGGTTGGACCAGGAACTACTTTTCCTTCCCATTTCCTTGTAGCTCAAAGTTAAGAGGATTTTAGGAGAGACGCAGCTGTCTCCTTCTTATCCTTCTGGAAGCTGCCTTAATTAAACCAGAGAAACTTATTTACAGTGTGGGGACATTAGAGCTGGCCTCATTCCTCTAGGATCCTAAATATGGCGGTCAACAAAAGGATGAGGTTGCTCAAAACCGACCAAGCCAAGCTCAGAGACAGCTGAGCTGTTCTGGGTGGTTGGAAGACTCTCTAGGGGTCTGTCTGGTTCTCACAGCCCACATATTCTCACGACCCAAACTTGACACAAGGAGGGACCAAGGCATTTTCGATTAATATTTGTTTAAAATTTCTAGACTTGTTGGTTTGCAGCAGTTCGGGGATCAGCCTGGAGCCTTGCACATGCTGAGGAACCCTCGGCCTTCAGTCCCAATTTGGTTAAGTGAGCAGTATTCCCAGATGACTTCTATGTGCAGCAGGTATGGGACCTGGTATAGACCATGCATGCCCACTAAGCAGAGTACCACCTAGCACAGTGTACCACCCAGCACCAGTGTACCACCTAGCACAGTGTACCACCCAGCACCAGTGTACCACCTAGCACAGTGTACCACCCGGCACCAGTGTACCACCTAGCACAGTGTACCACCCGGCACCAGTGTACCACCTAGCACAGTGTACCACCCGGCACCAGTGTACCACCTAGCACAGTGTACCACCCGGCACCAGTGTACCACCTAGCACAGTGTACCACCCGGCACCAGTGTACCACCTAGCACAGTGTACCACCCGGCACCAGTGTACCACCTAGCACAGTGTACCACCCGGCACCAGTGTACCACCCAGCACAGTGTACCACCTAGCACCAGTGTACCACCCAGCACAGTGTACCACCCAGCACCAGTGTACCACCCAGCACAGTGGACCACCCAGCACAGTGGACCACCTAGCACAGTGTACCACCTAGCACCAGTGTACCACCCAGCACAGTGGACCACCTAGCACCAGTGTACCACCCAGCACAGTGTACCACCCAGCACCAGTGTACCACCTAGCACAGTGTACCACCCGGCACCAGTGTACCACCTAGCACAGTGTACCACCCGGCACAGTGGACCACCCGGCACAGTGTACCACCTAGCACCAGTGTACCACCCAGCACAGTGTACCACCCGGCACAGTGGACCACCCGGCACCAGTGTACCACCCGGCCCAGTGTACCACCTAGCACAGTGTACCACCTAGCACAGTGGACCACCTAGCACAGTGTACCACCTAGCACAGTGGACCCCCTAGCACAGTGTACCCCCTAGCACAGTGGACCACCCGGCACAGTGTACCACCTAGCACCAGTGTACCACCCAGCACAGTGGCCCACCCGGCACAGTGGACCACCCGGCACCAGTGTCCCCCCCGGCCCAGTGTACCACCTAGCACAGGGGACCACCCCGCACCAGTGTACCACCCAGCACAGTGGCCCACCCGGCACAGTGGACCACCCGGCACCAGTGTCCCCCCCGGCCCAGTGTACCACCTAGCACAGGGGACCACCCCGCACCAGTGTACCACCCAGCACAGTGGCCCACCCGGCACAGTGGACCACCCGGCACCAGTGTCCCCCCCGGCCCAGTGTACCACCTAGCACAGGGGACCACCCCGCACCAGTGTACCACCCAGCACAGTGGCCCACCCGGCACAGTGGACCACCCGGCACCAGTGTCCCCCCCGGCCCAGTGTACCACCTAGCACAGGGGACCACCCCGCACCAGTGTACCACCCAGCACAGTGGCCCACCCGGCACAGTGGACCACCCGGCACCAGTGTCCCCCCCGGCCCAGTGTACCACCTAGCACAGTGTACCACCCAGCACCAGTGTACCACCCAGCACAGTGTACCACCCAGCACCAGTATACCACCTAGCACAGTGTACCACCCGGCACAGTGTACCACCCGGCACCAGTGTACCACCCAGCACAGTGGACCACCCGGCACAGTGGACCACCTAGCACAGTGGACCACCTAGCACCAGTGTACCACCCAGCACAGTGTACCACCCAGCACAGTGTACCACCTAGCACAGTGTACCACCTGACAGTGCCACAGTCAGTTCCTGTGGGAAGACAAGCATTCTCTTCCCTCCATGGCTTTATTTTCAAAGGTTTAGGGTTCTCATAATCTACCAAGGTCCAAATACATTAATTCCAGAAACAAAGAGTTGCTAAGTTTTAAATTTTACAGAGTTCACAAAAGCATGATGACATCACAGACTGTCCTGCTCCATCTTACCTGGGATATAAGCCAGCCCACTGTCCAGTTTCCACAGGCCATGGATGGCACCTGCCTGTTGATCAGTTAGTAGTGGTCTCAGTCATGACTGAGTCATGACTGTGGTGGCGTGGTGACTCACGTGTTCAAGAAGTTGTGCGTGGTACGTAGCACCACATCACAAAACCTAAGTTATCACCTCGCTTCACCCCATCACGGAAGCATTTACATTGTCGGAGAAGGTTAAGTATGGTCTACAGTGATATTTACAGAGAGAGAGAGAGAGAGTCACAGAACTTATGTACCATTATAACTGCTTTATTTTTGGTTGCTGTTAATCTCTTGCTGTTCCTAATTTATAAATTCAACTTTACCATGAGTATTTATGTATAGGGAAAACAGTATCTCGTAAAGCTTGGTACTATCTGAGTCATCAAGCCTCCACTGGGGACTTGAAACAGATACCCCATGGATATGAGGGGCTACTAAACGTGAAGGAAGTTTAGGCTAAAATGCACTGGTCTTAGGTAGCTCGTGGAAGACAGAATTAAATTCCGTGGGAATGGGGAGCCCTGAAAGGTTTTTGAGAAGAGAAATGGTAAGAAGACAGCAATAAATGAGTGTCTGCTGGGAGGCATGGAAGATGCACACTTACTCACCGAGCACAGATGTAGCCAACACACCACGCCAGGGCTCTGCTGAGCTACAAGGAAGAACACCATCCCTGTATGAAGGTGCTTACAGTTCAGTTGGAGAAAAAAACACTGCACATTGGAAAATAACAGAGAAGCTAGCTATTCAAGACCTCAACATCAGAACTGGTTCCAGAAACATGTGCTCTAGACCTTGGGGACCTATGATGCTAAGAAACTTGTATCACTCAAGTCAAAGGCTTCATGAACTTCAAACTAGGGAACAGATAAGAGTGATCGATGAGAGTCAAAGATTTACGAGAGACTATCTGGCAGTGCCTACATACTTAGATCATAAATTCTAATCTTCATCTACAGCATGTACTGTTTTTAGGAATACTAAATCACTGTTTCAAATAGTTATTTGCACAAATATATTTTATTAAAAATTAAATCACAAATAAAACATGGGTTATCCCTGCTGTGTGGGCAGGTGGAACATGCCCAGTGTCTCTGCAGAAGACAGCACTCTGGAGACTAAATGGATGGGGTGAGCCTCACAGAGCAGTCTAGGAGCTCAATGGAGCCTCAGAGCAGTGTCAAGATGAAATGTCAAGTGACTTGACATTTCTGGAATACCTGTCCCCTGATAGGCTGTCTGCTTCCACTATGTTGAGACATGATCTCTCTTGTTGTTATGCCTCTGTGATACACTGCATTGTAGGCTTCTGGCTGATTCTCCTGCCCCCAACTCCCATCTTGCCATAGGTGTGCTGGGATTAAGGACACAAGCCACTGCATCCATTTTTTTCAAGAGGAGTTCAAAGATCGAACTCAGGCCATCAGGGTTGCCCAGCAAGCACTGTTCACTGGCCTGACAAATACAATTTTAAAATGTGTTGGCTATTCCTGCAGACCACCCGGGTTCAAATCCCAGTACCCACATGGCAACTAACACCTGTTCTTAACTCCAGTTTCAGGAGAGCTGATGCCCTCTTTTGGTCTCTGAGGACACCTGGCACACACAGGGTGCCCTAACATACATGCAAGCAAAACATTCATACATATAAAATAAAAATACATAAAATCTGCTAAAAGTTTTTTAAAGCTTATTCTTCCCATTTGAAGCTGAGAAAACAGATATGAAGACTGTATGCTGGTTGGTCTTGAAGTCAGAAAACAGAAGCACCCAGTCTTAAACCTTAGGAAGACCCAGCGCCCTTAGCAAGTTTTCAAAAGCCTCTGCTTCTCTGGTTAGAAACGGCCATGTTTGAAGTTAGAGGGTTCCTTGAATTTCAGGATCCCAGAAACACTGAGAACCTCAGCCAACAATCTCATCTTGTCTTTCCCCCACTTTACAGAGGAGAAGCTGACTTCGAAGACAGCAAGCCACATGCACCACCCCTACACCATCTCCTTGCCTCCCACCCATCGCAGGGGCTAATGGTCACTCCGAGAAGGAAGCCCATTGTGGGTTCCCAGACCTATGACGGGAAAGGAGGGTGAGGGTATGCAAGGTCACCATGGGGAAAGGCCCCTCACTCGGCCTGTGAGTGCTGCAGGGACACTCGCAGGTTCCTGTGTTCCAAAAGGCCGGCCAAGCAAACCGCTGCCCCACCACTCCCTGAAAACTCTGACACAAGGGGCAGGTTATCTTATTTCTCTTTGTGTGGCAGTGACCGTGGCTGAGGCTGCAGGGGAATGGGGAGGTCTTCCTCCTGCTGCTGCCAAAGCTGATTGCTCAACCCCGCTCCTTCATCCTCAGTCTCAGCTTGTTCCAAGGCTGTGAGGTCTTCACTGTATCTATCCCTCTAACCAGGCATACCTCCTTCTTTTGGACACATTCCTTTGGAGCCGAGGAAACAGACTTCGTCTTCTTTCCTTCTCCTGGCTTTCTTCCAGGACCTTTTTCCTCATCCACTCTCCTGCTTAATCCACGTCGAGCTGCCTCCCCTCAGAAGGCACGCTTAGTGTTGCAGAGGAGCCTGGGGCATCTTGGCCTGAGGCCTGCCTGTGCCTGGCACCCACCTGCCCGTCTCCATCCTGATGACTTTCCTGTTGGCAGCTGGAGCACTATTCCTCTGTGATGCCCCTTTCACAGCCATCCTGTGTCCTTCCCACTCTGCTTTTCTTTCCCTCCAGGATATGTCCAGAACATTGCAGCCATCCATCATCACTTAAAGCTTTGTTAGGGAAGTGCCCTTTATAGACGCACTGTTAGGGCCTCAGGCCAGTCTTGCTCCACAACCGTCTTCATCACTGGGCAAGAAGGGACTTGCTAAGAAGCCAACTCATCCAACCCTCAGTCTTCTGCTTAAAATATCCATTTCCGGGGCTGGAGGGATGGCTCAGCAGTTAAGAACACTGGTTGTTCTTACAGAAGACTCGGGTTTCAATCCCAGCACCCACATGGCAGCTAACAACTGCCCGAAACTCCAGTTCCAGGGGATCCGACAGCCTCTTCTACCCTCCGCAGGCATTGTACAACATGGGTGCACTTACCTACATGCAGGCAGTACACGCATACACATAAAATAAAAATAATAAATAAAATATTAATATATATGTATATCCATTTCCCAATCTTCTACTTATTAAGATAGCTCTTTGAGCTACCCAGATAGTGAAACCTGCTTTGAGACATTCAAATCATGAAGTTCTGTGTCTGGTTTATTTCATTTAGAGTGGTGTCTTCCAGTTGCATCTGTGGTGTGACAAATGCCAGGACCATCCTCTTCTTTAATATTTTATTTATGAGTGTATTTATGAAAGTATGTATGAGTGTATTGCCTGCACGTAAGTGCACCCATGTCATGCAATGCCTGCAGAAGTCAGAAGAGGGTGTCGAATCCCCCAGAACTGGAGTTACAGACCATTGCTAGCCACCATGTGCGTGCTGGGAACCAAACCCGAGTCCTCTGCAAGAGCATCCAGTGCTCTTAACCGCTGAGCCATCTCTCCAGTCCCATCCATCCTTTTTTTACAGCTGAATTATATTCTTATATTCATAGGAATTATATTCATGTATATGAGATATTCATATATATATATATATATATATCACATTTTCTTTTCTTTTTGTCCACTAATGGCCACCTAGCTTATTCTAATTTCTTGCTTATTGTGAATAAGCTTGCAACTAACATAGGAAGGCACATATTTTTAACCAGGTGGTAACTTCATCTCCTTATAAACTCAGCAGAGGGATTAGTGGTGGTAGAATGTGTAGATGCCCTGCTTGACCAGTGCTGAGAAACTGAGATTAGATCAGGGGTCCCACAGCTTTGCCACTCAGGAGCACTTTACTTCCCTCTTGAGAAGCTTTTATTTCACAAGTTTAGTGTTGGAAGTTCATACAGAGTTTACACATGATAACTGCTCTAGCAGCGCAAAACACAGAGGAATTTCCCCATCATTATAGTAAGAAAACAGCACAGCATGCCCAAGGCCGTGAGGACTAGGCCATAACAGACCTCCTTTGATGTATGTACAAGCACGGTGAAGGACGTGTCAACCTGTTCCAGCATCCCAGAAGCAGGTGCCTTTTAGTTTTCCCCCTAGCATCCTGGGAGCAGACTCTCCCCACCCCCCACCCCCAGGACCCCACTTGAGCCTCTGCATCAACAAAGCCTGAAGAAGTCTATTAACTCTTAGGGAGCAGAGCACTATTGTCCTGAAGGGACAAGGGGGAGCAGGGAGACTACAGTGATGCTTTCATTGTCCTTGCTTTAGAGACCTGCCACATCTCTTTTCCGTCAGGATTGCACCAGCCTGTATTCCCAAGAGTGGATCGGATCCCTTTTCTCCAAAACATTTGTTGTCTCCTGACTTTTTTTCTACAAGGTAGAAAAAATAGTGATTAATTTCACTTATATGTGGAATAGAAAAGAAAAGAGGGGATTAAAATACACGGAGATGAGAATGAAGCAGGTGCCCCAGGTGGGTGGTGGGACAGAAAAGACATGAAATAATACAAAAATAACTGACACACGCAATGCACAGGTTGGAGAGCCAGGAACACTGTACCGTTTTTGGGATTTTGTTTAAGTAGATTTATTCTGCTACACACACACACACACACACACACACACAAACATGAGATCGATTCATCTGCTTTACCATAACAACTATTTTGTTCTTTACGCGAACCCCATAACATCATGTTATAACCCTGAGATATACATAATAAAGCTTATCTTAAAAAAAAAAAAAAAAAAGTGTCACGAGATTCTGTGACTCTTACTCAGGCTATTTCAAGGGAGACAAAATACAAAGTATACAAAAAGAAAGTTGTTAAACACTGATCCAAATGAGGAAGGAGAAACACCCACCTCCCTCTGTCCCACACTGCCAGGAACAGGAGCAACAGGGCGGTGTTTCATCATCTTCCTGGGAAGAAACGAAACTTACAGAAATAAAAGCTGGTACACACTTCCTCCTAGCTGATGCCTTCCCCAGGGAAGCAGAAGCACACAGACAACCAAGGGCAATTCATCTAGAAAGCACATGTTGAGTTCACATGTTGAGTTCATCCAGCATTTCTTCAAAATTCATTTGGAACTTCCCATGTTAGGAGCAGAGTCTCTCATCTTGACATGTTCCCTGGATTTTCACATTTCCTTTCCTTGTTTTAAATGCCTCACCTTTCACGCTTTATGGTTCCAATCTGAGAAATCCCCATAGGCTCGTGTTTTCAGTGCTGTTCCCTGTCTAGAGGTGTTGTTTGGGGAAAGACTCAGAAACCCTCAGGAGGAAGGGGCAGGCTGGTGGAAGTAGGCCGCTAAGGGAAAGCCTTCAATGGTTACAGTTCGGGCCACTCTCTGCTTCCTGGTCTGGTACCATGTGAGCAACCTCTCTGCAAGCTCCAGCTGCCATGGACAGGCCTCCTCTGCCATGCCTTCCCCAGCATGCCTCGGACCGTAAGCCAAAGTAAACCTTTCCTCCTTTAGCCACTTCTTTGACGTATTTTGTCATAATTGTGAAGAAAACTTCAAAGAATTGCTGTCTTACCATTTCACCTTTAAAAGTCTCCAATCACAATCTAGCTCCGTCCTTTTTAACTCTAGAGATTATTTTTATATTTTATTTGGTGGAGGGTACGTGTGCTGCATGCGGAAATCAAAGGACACTTTATGAAGTCAGTTCTTTCCCTCTACCATGTGGGTCCCAGGGCTCAAACTCGGGTGTCAGGCTTGACATTACTCCCCTTACCCACTGAGTCATCTTGCTGGCCCACTAGTTTCATCCTCTGTTCTAAAGTCTCATGTCTTTTTACAGATATGATGAACAAAATACATTTAATTTATTGATCATACCCAGTTCCAATATTCCTTGAAAGACACTGATTACAATGGTTGCAATCCTTCTTCCTGGCCCCTTTCCTAAAATGTTTGGTGGCATTCAGCCCTGTGCCTTTTCTAGGTTCTCTTTATCCTCTTCAAGTGTGTTGGAAGAACACCACTAAGTGCTCGTGTCACAATGTCGGTTACTAGAAACAACAAGTCTTATTTTTTTCTGTTCATACTCAAAACTTTTGGGACAGGAGTTCGTTGGCTTAATTTAGGTCATACATTATTACCACAGAGCCAATTGGCAAAGGCCAAGTTCATCCAAGAATATAGGTAACTCCCACTCAGATGAATGAGGAAGCTTCTGGAAGCACTAAGAAAGCTATTCTTAAAAGAATGGAAGACAGAACACTCAAAATAGATAGAAACCACAATAAAGTCTTATGTCTGGGTGGAGGGACAGTGTATTGTGATGTTACTGCAGCCTAGAGACATGTTTATGAAAACAGATTTGAAAAGAATGTGCCAAAGTGTAAAGTAGCAGAGTCTAAAATGTTGGTGACTTTAAGTTTCACAGAAAATACTGAATTAACTACTATCTAGACATTTAGGAATCAGAATTAAAATAATACATCATTTGCACTTCCTATATAAGCAAAGAAGAAATAATAATAAGTGTTGCCATCTCAGTGAAGGCAGAATGAAAAGAAAATGTAAACAAAGCTAGGCATGATGGGGCACATTCTCATCCCAGCCCCCTGCAGATTGAGGCAGAAGAATCAAAAGTTTGAGACCAGTCGAAGCTACAGAGTGAGTTCAAGACCAATTTGGGGAAGTCCCTGTCTCAAAAAGCAAAGTCAAAAGAAATTGTGGTCAAACATCATGGTGCATCCCTTTAATCCCAGCTCTTGGGAGGTTGAGGCAGGAGTATTGCTGTGAGCTCAAGGTCAGCTGGAGAACCAAATGATTACCAGAACAGGCAGAGCGTGGTGGTTAATATTGATGTCTGATGGATTAAATTGAGAGATGCCTAGGAGATCAAAAAATAAATATGTAATGGCATTTTCAGAGGATACTAACTAAATGGGAAAGACCTGCCCTGGATCTGAGAGATACTGTTCTCCGAGGGGGGGGATAACTCTCCTCTCTCTCTCTCTCTCTCTCTCTCTCTCTCTCTCTCCTTCTCTCCTATTCTCCCCACCATGATAAATAGAAACCTCTGAAATCATGAGCCAATATAAATCTTTCCTTCCTTTTAGTCTTTTCTGTCAGTTAGTTCTCACGGTGATTAAAATCTGAAAAACACAAAAATGCAGACAAATAGGGTAGCATCAGAAAATACACAATATTTAAAATAAGCTCAACTAGACAAGAACTCACTTTAAATGTAAATAGGCTAAATTCACTTTTTTTTCTTTATTTTATGTGTATGCGTGTTTTGCTGCATGCGTGTAAGTGCACCACATGCATGCAATGCCTAAGGGGGCCAAAAGACGGTGTCAGATCCCCTGCAACTGGAGTTACAGACAGTTGTTAGCTGCCATGTGGGTGCTGGGAACAAGAACTTGGATCCTTTGCAAGAGTAGCCAGTGCTCTTCAATGCTGAGTCATCTCTTCAGCCCCTA